TCGGCTGGCGACCCCCAGGGGAAGGGCCTTCTCTGTGGGTGCCCCCACCCTCTGGAACGAACTACCCCCCGAGATCCGGACGATTCCGGACCTCCTACCTTTTCGCCGCGCCCTCAAGACATGGCTTTTTCAACAAGCGGGTCTGGCCTAGGGAGAATTTTTAAATAGGGATAATTTTAATTTAAATCTTAATTAATTATACAGCGAAAAAAATATTTGGTTTTTAATAGGTTTTTATGGGGGGACGATGTTTTATGTGTTTTAATATGCTGTAAGCCGCCCTGAGTCCTATAGGGAGAAGGGCGGCATATAAATCCATGTAAATAAATAAATAAATAAATAAATAATATCTCCAGTGGTGGAGCACCCACAACCTCTGAAGGCAAGCCATTCCACTGGTTAGTTGTTCTCCCTGTCAGGAAATTTCTCTTTAGTTCTAGGTTGGGTTCTCTTCTTGGTTAGTTTCCATCCATTGTTTCTTGTGTTGTCTTAAGGGGCTTTGGAGGTTGACTCCTCCTCTTTGTGGCAACCCATTAGATATTGTAACACTGCAAGCATGGCACCACTACTTCTTCTTTTCATTAGACTAGATCACTGGTCGGCAACCCGCGGCTCCGGAGCCGCATGCGGCTCTTTGAGCCATCCCCTGCGGCTCCAGAGTCTCCTCCACCATTTTCAGAGAGAGACAAGGAAAGAGAGAGAGAGAACTTGCACTTCCCGCCCCCCCACTCTCTCTCTCTCTCTCATGTGGACTTGCCCCTCGCAGGGCTTCTGATTGGCCCTGTGCCCGGGTGCCACATCCCCTGGGAGAAGGGCAGCCAGGAAGTCCCTTTCCCGGGCTGGCCCCGTCTGAGGTGCACGTGGCTGGGTAGCCATGCGGGAAGCCCCAAGATCCCCGCTGGGAGCGGCCTGCCCAAATCTCTGCTGAGCGGGCCAGCCCTCCCGCAAACCGCGGCCCCGAGAGCAGCCCCTCCGATGCCCAGCTGGCGTGACCATTGGCCAAGCAGCAGCAGAGCCAGAGACAGAGGGTCAGTGGTGGAGCGAGGGAGGGGGCTCTGAGTCCATGGAGCACTGCCGCGAAGCCTCCCGTCCTGCTCCCCCTCCCCGCCCATTTGGCTAAGGACGCAGTGGCCAAGCTGGGGGCAGCGTGGACTCCCGACGATGCTGCAATGGCTGCTGCCATGCCGCTTCCGCCACCACTGGAGCCGCTGCCTCCTGTCCTGCTCCCCCTCCCCGCCCGTTCGGCGCTGTCTGCCTTTCATTATCTCTCTCTCTCTCCTAACATGGAGGGAGAGGGAGAGAGAGAAAGAGGAAAGAAAGAGAAGAGAAAGAGGAAAGAGAAGAGAGAGAGAGAGAGAGGAAAGAGAAAGAGAGAAAGGGGAAAGAGAGAGAGGAAAGAGAAAGAGGAAAGAAAGAGAAGAGAAAGAGAGAAAGAGAGAGGAAAGAGGGAAAGAGAAGGAGGAAAGAGAAAGAGAGGAAAGAGAAGAGAAAGAGAAAGAGAGGAAAGAGAGAGAAAGTTAGAGGAAAGAGAAAGGAAGAGAAAGAGAAAGAGACAGAGAAAGATAGAGGAAAGAGAGAGAGAAAGTTAGAGGAAAGAGAGAAAGAGAAAGAAGAGAGAGGAAAGAGAAAGAGAGGAAAGAGAGAGAAAGAGAGGAAAGAGAAAGAGAAGAGAGAGGAAAGAGAAAGAGAGAAAGAGGGAGAAGAAAGAGAGAGGGGGAGAGGAAAGAGAAAAAGAGAGGAAAGGGAGAGAAGGAGAGGAAAGAGAGATAAAGAGAGGAAAGAGAGAAAGAAAGAGGGGGAGAGGAAAGAGAGAAAATGAGGAAAGAAAAAAGATTGAGGAAAGAGAGAAAGGAAAGAGAAGAGAAAGAGAGGAAAGAGAAAGAAAGGAAAGAGAAAGAGGAAAGAGGAAAGAGAGAGAGACAGAGAAAGAGAGAGGAAAGAGAGAGAGAAAGTTAGAGGAAAGAGAAAGAGGAAAGAGAAAGAGAACAGAAAGAGGAAAGAGAAAGAAAGAGAGCGGAAAGAAAGGAAAGAGAGAGAGAGGAAAGAGAGACAGAGAGAGAGAGAGACCCTTTTGACATCTAAAATGAAGATAACACTGCATATATCCTTTTTACCTTTATTTTATATATATACACACCCACACCCACACACACACACATATATCATAAAGGTAAAAAAGGATATATGCAGTCTTATCTTCATTTTAGATATCAAAAGGGTTTTGCGGCTCCCAGAGTTTTGTTTTCGGTGGGAAACGTGTCCAAGTGGCTCTTTGAGTGTTTTGGGTTGCCTACCCCTGGACTAGATATACCAGTCGTGCATTCCTGAGAGAACCAGCTGGGGTAGGTCCTTCCATATACCCAATTCCTGCAGCTGTTCTTCATATGTTTTAGTCTACTGCCCCCTAATCATCTTTGTTGCTCTTCTATGCACTATTTCCAGAGTCTCAAGATCTTTTTTATCTCGTGGCAACCAAAAGTGGATGCAATCTTCCAAGTGTGCTATTATCAAGGCCTTATAAATCAGTACTAACCCTTCATCTGATCTTGATTCTATCCCTCTGTTAATGCAGCCTAGGACTGCTTTGACTTTTTTGGTAGCTGCAGCAAAATAATTTCTACATAATAATAATAATAATAATAATAATAATAAATTTAATTTATATGCCGCCCTTCTCCCAAAGGGACTCAGGGCGGCGCACAACATATTTAAAACAAAACATAAATACATTCCCCCCCGATAAAACCGAATTAAATCAAATTTTAAAGTTGTGTCTCTGTCAAATTGTTAAAAGATAAACCCCAAATAAAATCCTCCCTAGGTCAGGTCCGCTTGCTGGAAGAGCCATGTCTTGAGGGCGCGACGGAAAGCAAGAAGATCC